AAGAGGCAGGAGCACAGGTGGGGGACCCCAGGAAAGGTGAACCAGGATGCTCTGTGAAATTTTCTTGCACAGAGCAGGTAAGTATAACATGTTTGTTATTTAAAAAATAAAACAACTTGGATTTTACAATCACTTTAACCACTTGCTGTCCCACCCATAGTAATTATACTGTGGATGGGTTGCACAGCCAGGCAAAATCATGTACATGTACACCGCTGGCTAGTGGGCACGCAGCGCACCGCTCCCGTGGCCGGACAGAGCAGATTGCGGTTTTGAGCAGCCTGGGGATCACAAGATTGCCAAGTGATCACATGATCAAAATGTAAACATGAATGTTATGAATGGGTTTCATTCATGACATTTGTGCTTTGTATTGTGACACTGTGATTGGCCCACAGCTATCTCATAGTAATTTATCCAATCACAGCACCCTATACCATGTGACAGATGTGAGCCAATCACAGCACACAATAGTAATCACAGCTGTTATGAATAAAACCCATACGTGACGGTTCAAAACATTGCTGTTACAGTGATCATCACTGCAGCAACCAAAGTGTACAAAAAAAAATCCCTGATCACCCCTCCAGAGTAGTACAGTGTCACTGTATGCAAGTAAAAAAAAATAGTAAGAAAAGAAAAAACTGTAAAAAAAAAAAAGAAAAATGTAATTATCATTATTATTTAATGTATTTGTTTTTAAATAATGTCACTGGGTTATTTCTACTGTCCTGTCATTTTAAGGGACTGAAAAAATGAGATGGGCTTTCAGTATATCAGGACTGATGAATATTCAGATATATAAACCATAGTTTGCAGACACTATAGATTTTACACAAACCAATTAATATACACTTATTGTGATTTTTTTTTAACCAAAGACATGCAGCAGAATACGTTTTGGCCTAGATTTATGAAGAAATTTTATTTTATTGAATATGTTTTATAGCAGAAAGTAAAAAATATTGTTTTTTTTTAAATAAAATAAATAAAAACCCAGTGGTTATCAAATACCACAAGAAAGCTCTATATGTGTGGCAAAAATATATATACATTTTATTTGCGTACAGTGTTGCATGACCAAGCAATTGCCAGTTAAGTAGCACAGAACAGCTGAACAGCGTAAAATGGCCTGGTCTTGGGGGTAAAACCTTCCGGAGGTCAAGTGGTTCAAATGGACTGGACCGGCACACACACTATCGGGAGGTTATAATTTATGGTTGCAATTACTATGTTTTTACATAATTTTTTTTTTTAGTATAGTAATTTTATAAGCAAATAAAATCTTTATATTTTAATATGAATTGGATTTGTAATATTTGGGTACCTCAGAGGTCTGCTGGTGCATCCCTTTTTTCCCTTTCCTTGTCCCTTTTCTCTATTCCCACTCCCCTGTTTTCACTGGCAGTCAGGAGTGAAATGTACATGGGAACACAATTTGGTAAAAAGCACATTTTATAGATGCGCATAGCAAGAAACTTTTCAAAGAGTAACATATTGTCCCATTTTGAACTTGATTGCAATGCAGCAGATTCAAAAACTTTGCTTATCTCTGCTCATTCTGCCCAACAGTGTAGCTGCTAGCATCAAAGAAAACTTTCATTAATATCCAGGTGAGATTTTCTCTAAGCTCACACTTACTTTATTAATCATTGCAATGAGAACAGCATGTGTCTGGTGATACACAATAACTGTGGCAAGGAACATTTATTATCGGGTCATGTCATTTATATTGAGTGGATATCAAAGTGTTTGGAATCTCAGAACTGTACCTGTGACTTCTTTCTATGACTACGGAGTTACAGTGCAGCCAAAATCGAATTTAATTATGCACACAATTGTTGATATAGACATTTCATCTCCAAGAAAAGCTTTATATGCAAAGCACATATCTTTTAGTACAGTAAACGACATCCCTCCTAGGATGAATTATCCATCACAGCTGGGAGGCTGGGTAGCAGAAACATGAAAATCACGTAGGAAGCTGCACTGTGTCTTCCTTTACTTGCTAAACCTTAATGTACATAATTGTTTTAATGAGTTTCTGAAATGCTTGATATTTATCAGACATTATTGGTGCCTTAGGCTAAAAAAACAGCATTAAGGCAGGCAGTCAGGTGTGCAGCAGCACAAAAACTAATGTAATGGCAAATAAAAAAATTAAAACAATTTTTCATGTGTGCTGCAGTTAAAACAAAAGAAAACCGAGTTAAATCACACGGATAAAATTAGATTAAATAAAAAAAAGAAAGAAATACATAACATACGAAGTTTTAAAGTCTTTTAGTTGAACAGAAATACAAAGAAGAGTACAAAAAAAATAAGTACAATACATGAGAAGAAAAGTAATAGCATAAAAAGAAAAGATACAAGGAAAATGTAACACCTTAGTACTGCAATTTTTTTAGATTTTTTTGTGTGTGGGGAGGAGGCAAAAAAATATTCCAGCATCACAAGAATACTCAAACTAACTAATATAGTCTCTCTTACTGTGGCATGTGAATCATTAGAAAAAAAAACAGGGATATGCAAGCCCACGCATCAAGACCACCAGGTGGAAGAAAGCCAAACATTTATTAGGACTTTAATGAAATTGTAGAACACTACACTATAAGGTATGTGTTAATGATACCAATAGGGTGAGATGCTGCCTCTATCCCGTGGTCATCACATAAATATGAATATCTTAACAAAATATACCGCACATACACATGCATCGTGACGTGATGATGTCACATCACTACACGCGTGGTGCCGTGACAGAACAGGTGCGTGATGGTCTCATTACAAGGAGCAAGCAGCAGCCATCTTGTGGGCTAATGTATAAAAAGAGGAGCCCATTTAAAAATCACCATTTTGCCATATGATTATTGATTGTTTGCACTTACAGTATATTCTATTTATTTATGATATCCTGATGAAGCTCTTCTAGAATGAAACATGTAGGGTTTCTTTATTTGCTGCACAATCTTTTTTTGCTTTCTTATTTTTTGGGGGGGGCACACAAGGTTGTTTTGGGGGAAGGGACCTGGGACTACATTTGAACCTCAATTTTAGTAGCTATAGCAGGGGGGGGGGGGCACACAAGGTTGTTTTGGGGGAAGGGACCTGGGACTACATTTTAACCTCAATTTTAGTAGCTATAGCAGGGTCTGATGATAATTTTTTGTTTCTATTTGGGCTGGTGAACAGGGGGGGGGGGAAAGATTGGAAATGACATACCACTGTAACTGCTAAACTTTGCAGAGCACATTTAATCTACCTTTCTAATTTAATGTTTATGTGTACTCTGCCCTAGGCCTGTGAGTTAAGATATTCATATTTATGTGTTGACCACGGGATAGAGGCACCATTGGACACTTTATTCAGACCTTTTTTATGCCACTATAGGGGAGAAGTTCTCCCAATTTGTTTGGATGTCTATTAGGGTCCTTAGGTCTTGCCCTATAAGTATTATTAACACATTCAGTGTTCATATAATTTCTAGACTTTCTTCCTCCCAGTGCCCTTGCAGTCTGACAATATTAAGCCACTGCATCTCAATAGGCAAGTGTGTTGACAGCTTGCCATGCATGCTTCTTCAGTTAGCCATTGGACTGCTTAGCAGGTCTTTCATATAGGAAGCCATACAGCCACCTAAAATAGCCTGCACAACAAACTGATCTGCACAGTAATTAACCACTTGTGGACTTTGGGCATTGTAAGATACGCGTAAAAAATTCAACATATTTTGTAGGCCACCTCACCGCTGGGCAAAGTCATTTGTGACAAAACGTTGTTGGGAGGTGCAGCCTAGGCTCACACTAGAATTAACTCAGGGAGTGATGAAAGGAGAGTTGAGTCAAGCTGTAAAATCTGATTGACATGGGTGGGTGAAATATGCTGAGGTCAATATGGATTTTATCATGTGAAAAGGCAGATTGCATATACCAAGGCTTATCAGTGAAGGTTGTTACGCCGCTAAATGTGACTGTATTTAGAGAAGTCATATATTTTATATTATTGTAATAAATGTTTTATGGTATAACACTATTTTGAGCATTATAGACTTTTTAATGTACATCCTGGATACCTTGAGATGTAAGCAGTGTGTTTAGAGGTCGGACGTGGAACTGGATCAGTTTTGGGATTGTGATTTCATTAAAGCATATGTGACTCTAAATCTACCCTATAATGCTGTTGAGTTTAGAATTTAATCTAAGATGTTAGATACTTTGCTAGTGATTGAAGATGGCTATGTGTCAAAAGTGGTGAACAATGTGTGATGGACTTCACAAGTTTCACATATAATTTTATAACATTAAATTTCTTTGATCAGTATTTGGTGTTTTTAAACAGAATATTTTTGTGTATTTAGGCTGTGCTGTCTGTGTCACTTATGAAGTTTTCTGAAGGAGCATGTTAGCACTTTTTAGATAAGCTGCAGCATTGATAGATGTAATTTGTAGATGTATTTTATTTTTAGTTCTTTACTAATATTTCAGTTTAAAAAGCAAAGAGGTTTTATACAAATGTACAGTATATTTCCTAGGGCATTTTCCTGTGGAACGTCTTCATTTGTTGCTGCTGTATTATCCTTCTGCAGTGTGGACAGGGTTAAACTCAATATTCATTAATGCAAAAGTTCAGTGGCCAACTTTAACAACTTGCCTACTGGGCACTTATACCTTCTTCCTGCCCAGGCCAATTTTCAGCTTTAAGCACTGTTGAACTTTGAATGACAATTTTGCGGTCATGCAACACTGGCGGTCATGCAACATATGAAATTTTTTCACACAAATAGAGCTTTCTTTTGGTGGTATTTAATTGCCACTGGGTGTGGGGTGTTTTATTTTTTGCGCTATAAACAAAAAGAGAGCAAAAATGTTTTAAAAAAAATAAAAAATTTTCTTTGTTTCTATTATAAAATTTTGCAAACAGGTAATTTTTCTCCTTCACTGATGTGCATTGATGAGACTGCTCTGATAGGCAGCACTGATGGGCACTGATGAGGTGGCACAGATAGGCAGCACTGATAGGCGGCACTGATGAGCTGGCACTGATAATGCTCCACTGATATGCAGCAATGATGGGCACTGATAGGCAGCACGGATGAGCACTGATAGGCAGCACTGATGGGTGGCACTGACTGGCAGCACTGACTGGCAGCACTGCTAGGTACTGACTGGTGACACTGCTGGGATCTGATGGGTGGCACTGCTGGACAGCACTGATGGGGGGCACTGGTGGGGGGCACTGCTGGGCACAGGTGGGTGGCACTGTTGGGCACAGGTGGGTGGCACTGCTGGGCACAGGTGGGTGACACTGATGGGCACCTGTGGGTGGCACTGCTTCACACAGGTGGGTGGCACTGGTGGGTGGCAATTCTGGGCACTGCTCTGATGATCAGTGCTGATCTGTTTTCTGACAATTGCCGGTTATCGGCAGTACTTTCCTCATAATGTGACAGTGTGAGGAAAGTGCAGCCGACAACCGGCAACTGCATTTACCCGCTGATCTGCTGTGTCATTGGACACAGCTGATCACGTGGTAAAAGGTCGCTGTGATTGACCTTTTACCACATCACGTGATCAGCTGTGTCCGTAGGACACAGCAATCAAGGAGATCACCGGGTGTGCGCCACTGGGGGAGCGTAGGAGGTCGTGTTCTGGGAGGACGTCATAAGACGCCCTCCCAGAACTGGACAACAGCACTGTAGCCGTCATTCGGCTATAGCCCGGTTGTCAACTGATTAAGGAGACCACTTTACAATGCTTGTCTATGGAGTGTCTCCAGTGTAGGGGGCAGCCATCTTTATTGCATCTGGGTCGATCCTGGAAGGACAGTGATTGGCTGTCGCAACAAATCAAGGAGAGGAGTGTCTGCAGACTGCTGAGGGGAAGAGAGAGGACAGTCTTAAAGGATATGGACTGCTGGATAAACAAAACCCTACCATAGCTGACCACAATCAGAATTAGATGAGACCTCAGAGACACTGGTCATCGCACATAACCTTGTCGCTATACCATAATACATCTCAAACAATATGAAAAAATTTAAAAAATGCCTTTATTTCATATCAAATAGCTTTGTCATGCTTTGTACCAAAAACTTAATTGTAATGTAATCAAAAAACAGGAACATTTTGAGAATAAAACGTATGCTTTTAATATACAGTAACACTGTACAACTGGGGGAAGTACAACTGGGGGAATCAATGGTGGAAAAGTATTTAGGTGTTCTGGTAGATCATAAGCTTAATAATGGCATGCAATGCCAAGCTGCAGTTTCCAAAGCGAGAAAAATCCTCTCTTGTATTAAGAGAGGTCTAGACTCGAGAGAGATATCATTTTATCCCTGCACATATTAGTAAGATTAGTAATACCTCTTCTAGAATATGCAGTTCAGTATTGAGCACCATTTCACAAAAAGGATCTGGAGAAAGTGCAGAGAAGGGCAACCAAACTGATAAGAGACATGGAGGAGCTCCGCTATGAGGAAAAATGACAGGAACTGAATGCATTCTCTTTTGAGAAGAGAAGAATAAAGGGGGGATATGACCAACATGTATAAATACATAAGTGTTCCATATAGTGAACGTGATGTAGAGTTACTCACTGTAAGGTCATCACAGAGGACAAAGGGGGCACTCTTTATATCTGGAGAAAAAATATAAAAATGTTTCTTCACCACAAAATATGTGGAATGGACTGCCTCAAGAGCTGGTTCTGGCCAGCGCAGTAGATTTAATTTTTTTTAAAAAAAGGTCTGGATTCTTAAATACATATAATGTAACTGGATACTAACATTTATAGGTAAAGTTTATCCAGGGTATATCTGATTGCCTCTTGGGGGATCAGATGGATTTCTTTTCCCCTGGAGGAGCAAATTGGATCATGCTTTGAAGGGGAGTTTTTTTGCCTTTCTCTGGATCAACTGTGGGTATAGGATTGTGTATATAGGAATGTATTTTATTTTCCTTTTTATTGGTTGAATTAGATGGACTTGTGTCTTTCAACCAGACTAACTATGTAACTATTTACAGTAACACTATGCAAAATCAACAATTTGTACATTCTTTTTGACTATCAATTGCATAGAGAATAAAAAAAAATACCCATGCACAGAATCAAAAGCATTAGATAGAAGTGGACAGGATGGTTTGTGTGTAGAACTGTAAGTCTCCTTTGAGAGTGCTGAAAGTACAGTGATAGCTACACTTCCCAGCTTTAATAAAATTGTACATTATAAAGAACAGGCAGTAATCCCAGAGGTGGAATACACCTCCTGAGATTTGACTATTTCTAACCCAACAGATTTTTTTCCTGGAGTTCTTCTTTAGGCCACATCTGAATGTTGCTGTACCGTCTATTCATCCCACCACATTTGAAGCATCATTTCTCGTGTTTAAAGCACCACAGGTGCCCCAGGATTCCCAGGTCTTTCACAATCTTTTCAATGGCCTTGTGTGTTGAGTACATGTCATTGCATGGTTCGTGTTGTAATTCATGAGAAGAAGCATTCTCCAACAGTAAATACCTTTGCTTTTAAAACTTGGCTCTGTGAACCAGGGGTAATGATTAAGTGTGACAAAGAGATGGAAAACTACAATCTTCCTGTGCTTGGGGAGTAGGCCCAAAAGGCATTAATGGGCTACAGTCAAACCTTCACCTTCATGGGGTGCACTTGCATTGCTGCCCTCAAAAGACTGGGGAGGTCTGGGAGCACTGTAGTAACGATAAACAAATAGAGGGTGCATCGGCCTAGTGCAGGGGTGGGCAAACCTTTTGACTTGAGGGCCGCAATGGGTTCATATATTGGACCCGGGGGCCGGACCAAGAGTAGATGAATGATGTGTATGTGTCATCCATAGTAAGTATAGTAATATTCCCCCATATAGTAATTCATCCCCCATATAGTAATTCATCCCCCCATAGTAATTCATCCCCCATAGTAATTCATCCCCCATATAGTAATTCATCCCCCCTATAGTAATTCATCCCCCATAGTAATTCATCCCCCATATAGTAATTCATCCACCATAGTAATTCATCCCCCATATAGTAATTCATCCCCGATAGTAATTCATCCCCCATATAGTAATTCATCCCCCATAGTAATTCATCCCCCATATAGTAATTCATCCCCCCCTATAGTAATTCATCCCCCCTATAGTAATTCATCCCCCCTATAGTAATTCATTCCCCATATTAATTCATCCCCCATATAGTATTTCATCCCCCACAGTACTATTCCCCCCCAAGTAGTAAGCCAAGTCCCCCATGTGTCAATTCACTTACCTTTGCTCCGCGCGTTCCTCTCGCCGTGTTTCCCGCGCCGTTCCGGTCTTCAGGGCGAACTGTGAGAGGAGCCTAGCTCCCCTCCCCTCACGTTCGTCATGCTGCCCCGCCTACACACATCCTGACAGCCACATCCGCGGGACGGATTAAAAGGTCCACCGGGCCGTATACGGCCCGCGGGCCGTAGTTTGCCCATTGCTGGCCTAGTGCATTATCCTTTAAAATTGTACATTTAATGTGAACAAGTAAGTATTATACTCACAAAATCATAAAAGATGCAAATACATCTCATGATTGGAGCACAAACAGTCTGCAAAACATCAAGGTGTACAGAAACTTTGGAACATCTAGAGGCTGACACATTTTGAGGATTTACCCTCTTCCTCAGAGCCTCTGAAGAAGAGGATAAGTCCTCAAAATGCATCAGCCTCTAGATGTTCCATCGTTTCTGTACAATTTGATGTTTTTCAGACTGTTTGTGCTGTACTCATGAGATGTATTTGCACCTTTTATGACTGAGTATAATACTTTTTCACATTAAATTTACTATTTTAAAGGATAATGCACTAGACTGGTGTGCCCTCTGTTTGTTTTTTCGTTACTGTAATATTTAAGTGTACTGGGGTTAATGGCAGATGTGAGCAAAGTTTGTCCAGCTGCCTAAAACCCTCATTATTACACCTAATTCCACCATCTAACCCATGAAGGATGCAAATGCACAGTTATGCATTTTCATTACTGAAAAAGCTTAGGCTAATGTATTATGATGTGTCATACAGTGGAGTTATTACTGTCTAGAATAAAACAGGTTTACTAACCTTGACTCCATGTTGAGAAAAATACATAGCTGTGAAAGAAAAATTGTGGAAAGAGATTACATGAAAATAAAAAAAATCACTTGTGTTATTAATCTACTGCTGGCTTCTAATGCAAAACCATTAAAAAAGAAAATGAGGAAAGAATTAGATTCTATAAACTGCTGTGAATCTGCTTCACTAGCTCCATGTATAGAAATCATAAAAAGAAAAAGGGAAATAATGTTCATCACCAAAGTGTTTCAGTTTAATGTTTCCTTGCCATTTAATCTGTCTACAAAAGCATGGCACAATTAGTCTCTGTCAGAGGCAGATCAAAGCTCCAGTGGAAGAAATGAACACAGATTGTATGTGGTCCCCCTACATTTCATTTAGCTGGTGGGACTGATGCTTTCAAGTATGACATGGACTAGTCCTTATCCTTGTCGGTAACGAGCTCTATGCATGCATTTCATTATAATATAATCTATACTAGCTTTTCCCATCATCTACAGTAAATTGTCTCCAACATCAATAAAGAAGTATATTCACAATATAAGGCTTTAAAATGCACCACATATTTTATATTCTATAAAATTCTATGAAATAAATAGGTTTGCCTGCTTCTTGAATTGATACCATCATGTAAGAATGGAAAAAGAGCACATTAATTAAAGTAGTGGCAATTCTAATAAAAAAAATATACAGTATTAAAAAACAGCCTGTTTTTTTGGCTAGAATTCTGTGTTTCCTAAAGGTGGAAGAGGAGAGAGAACAAAGGGACCTTTTATGGTTAGGAATGGCACTTTGTAAGGCATTGTATACATTTGTGATGCATTTTTACAGCCTCCCAACCCGGGGCGGATTGACCATTTGGAAACTCGGGCACTGCCCGAGGGCCCGGGGTCAGTAGGGGGCCCCATGAGATGCCCCTGGTACCTTTTTCATAGGCTTTTTTGAGTTTGGGCAAGGACACAGGGGCCCCATGATCCCTTATTGCCCGGGGGCCCCATGAGTTGTCAGTCTGCCCCTGCTCCCAACTGCTCTTCCTTATGCTGCAAAGGCAGCAAAAGGCCACAATGCTTTGCATTGCTGTGTGCAAAAATGATTCCTGCTGTCTTGTTCAGCAGGCAGTACTGCCCACTGAAAGCCACCCATTTAGCTGGGTGCTAGTGGGGGATTTAAGGGTTTAAAGCAAGCGGTGAGGGGGTGATACACCTCCTCACTCCCTGTGATATACTTTCTGAAGAACAATCTCGTCAGGGAGCAACAATAG